AGAGGAGCAGGAAGGCTTCCTGCTCCTCTGATGCTGCTTGGCCTGCTGTGTTCATCCAGCTGTACACCTTGTTATCTTCAGCGGGATGTTGCCTGGGCTTGAGCAATTGAGCTATGCAGAGAGACGAGACAGGGTGGGATTGTTTTCATTAGAGCAGAGAAGGCTGAAGAGGGACCTGATTGAGGTGTATATAGTTATGAAGCATAGACAAGGTGGACAGGGGTAAAACAATCCCCTGTCAGAGGGGCCACCAAGTTTAGAGGAAATTTGAGGAGCAAAATTCACCCAAAGGATAGTGGGTATTCAGAACTCACTGCCAAAAGGGTTGGGGGAGACTGGAGTCCTCCTGATGTTTAGCATGTATTTAGATGCGTAGTTTAAACACCATATCATACAAGCATTAGTGGCGAAGAGCTGGGAAATGTAATTAAACTATACAGATGCTTGATGACAAGATGGGTGGAAGGGCCTTTTCTCCATGCTGTAAAAACTCTAGGACATTCTGTGACTGTCATTGAGAAGCACTCAAATCTTTATGCCAGTTTGAAATGTTTCAAGCTATTGGCTAAACTCCCACGCAGGACTGCGACAAAAATCATGACCTTGATGCTGCCCCTGGCAGAGGGGATTGTTCTTTAACCCACCACACTCTAACCCTTATCACAGCTGGCCCTGCCCCCACCCTCGCCCTCAGGCCCTGTCACAGCTGGCCCTGCCCCCACCCTCTGGCCCTGTCACAGCTGGCCCTGCCCCTGCCCTCTGGCCCTATTCCATCGTCTGTCCTCCCTAAATCTAAGCTCATAGAAAACTCTGAAGGGTGTATTCTATATCACAGCAGTTTCTGTCTGCCCATTTCACCTGCCCTTGTTGATTTAAAAACTCTGTTCCCACCTCTGTCTCCCTCCCCAAACCGCATTCGTTTAGAATCATAGAATCCCTACAGTTTGGAGGTAGGCCATTTGGCCCATCAGGTGCATACTGACCCTACAAAGAGCACCCCACCCAGACCCACCCCTTTAACTTTATCCCTATAATCCCTGCATTTCCCATGGCTAATCTACCTAGCCTGCACATCTGTGGACACTGTAGGCAATTTAGCATGGCCAATCCACCTAACATGCGCATCTTTGGACTATATTTAATATTCTCATTATCATGTGTTTAAATCATGCCATGCTGTTACCTCCACCACCCCCTCGACCCCCCCACCCACTTTACTTGATAATCTCATCCAGCCGTGCAGCCTCACTGAATATTTATGGATGGAGATTAGGAATGGCAAGAGGCAGAAAATGCTGGTGGAAATTGTGTATGGCCCCTTAATCATTGTTATATCACTGGAGAGAGTGTTAAACAAGAGGTTATTGGAGCTTGTGACAAAAGCAATGTAATAGTTGTGGGGAACTTTAATCTTAATAAAGACTGGACCAATCAAATTGACAAAGGTGGTCTGGACAATGAGTTTGTAGAATGTATTTGTGGCAGTTTCCCTGAACTAGCTAGGGAAAAGGTTATTTTGCATCCAATATTGTGAACTGAGGCTCAGTTAATCACTAACATCATAGTTTAAAGTACTAATATGATGGGAAATGTGAAATAAAATCAGAAAATGTTGGAAATGGCAGGCATCTGGAGAATGTAGAGTCAACATTTTCAGGTCAATAAGCCTTCATTAGTACTGGGTAATGTTAGAAATGTAATGGCTTTTACCCACGTGGAATGGGTAAGGTAGAAAAGTAATACCAGGGGAAAGTCTGTGATAGGGCAGGAGACATTAAATGACAAAAGCGTCAGTGGTGCAGGGATAAACATAGTAAGAAAGGGACAAGGGATGTTCAGTTCACAAGCATGAAACTGAACTTCTGTTCATTTTAATTCTGCACCATGCCTTCACACTGACCTCTCTGTCCTTGGTCTGCTGCACTGCACTATTCCAGTGAAGCTTAACACAGGCATGAGAAACAGCACCTAGCTTTCAGTTGGATACATAACAGCCTTCCACACTCAGCATTGTGTTCAACAATTTCAATCTGTAACCTCTGCCTCCTTTACTTTGCATGTTTTGACCTTACTCTTGTTTTTTTTTTATTTCGGACTGCTTTTGTTCTTTATTATGCCACTCGGATATTCTGGACACATCTATTCCTTTACTTTCCCATTGCCACTTGCTTTGGCCCTAAGCATGCAACATTTTGGTGGTTTAATCTCTCCCATCTTCTGCCCTGTCACAGGTCTTCCCTTTTGTTCTATTTCCACCCTCCTGCTTTCACTTGCTTAAAACTTATAACATTTCTAACATATAATTTATGACAACTTACAGCATTTCTAAGTTTTCCCAGTCGGGTAGAATATTAATTTTATTTCTTTGTTCACAGTTGCCACCTGACCTGCTGAATGTTTTGAGTATTTCCTGCATTTATCTCTTGATAATAAATGCTTCTCTAAATTGGAATAATAGTACGAGTGTAACTAGGTCCCTATTGTTTCCCTTATGATTCAGCCAGTCACTTGCTGTATGAATGGAAGACTGGGCATGCTCCCAAGCAATTTTATTTGTAAACATTTCTGGGGATGTTTCATTTTCATGGATGACTAAAAATCTCAGAGAAAGAACAATCTTAATCAGAATTGAAAATATTAGATTTTTAGGTAAAACATGACTTGGTTCCACCTGTTGGTTGAAGTAGCAAATGTTACTGAAATGGTAATAGAAGGTATAGGTTTACAGTGAGTGCTTGTTATCTTAAATGGAGCATAGGTAGGAAATGATTGTGTAGAACAATGATTGGCATTGAATGTAAGGACATTGTTCAACATTCAACATGATTCAACATTCTCAGCCATATACCAAGTGGCAAATAATGTTCGTTTGTGTTCAGACAGGAACAACTTGTGTTTACTTGGAACATGTCAGCAACGTGTCTCATGAAATCCAAACACATTCAGAGCTTTCAGAACGGAGAATAATGGAGTTTGATTCCATATTTGCTCAGCCATTATGTCAGTGCCATATCATCAGCACAAGGTGATGCTTTCTAAAGGTCATGGGCTTAATCAGAGTAGAAATTGGAGAGTGGCCTCAGTATAGGATGCCGTCTTGGCAGAGATGCACAAACAGGTGGCAAATAAGATGCAGAAGTGAATGAGCAGCTGGGAACTGATGTGCCATTTCAATTATATCTGCTCATCGAGTGTACTTGGAAGATTTCCTAATGGGTTTATATATCTTCCTTTTAATATATTCTGCTATGAAAACTCTTCAATCCACTTGATGCCTATTGCTTAGATTCAAAGTTGGATTGCATTTCCTACATATAAAGGACAAAATGCTTTATGGGTCGTAGTGGCTATGACGTTAATTTGAGACTTGATTTTCATATTTCCTGACCTCTATCATTGTCATTCTTCGGGTTTACAATCCCTTGAAGAAATAATGAGTCAAACTAATCATTAATCATTCCTTTGGGTGAAATTGTTGCAGTTAATGAACGCCACTCCTCGGCAAATTCAACTCATAATTCCCTTTCTTGAGTTCCCGATTCTCTTTGTTTCCAGATGCAATTATCTGAAGGGCAGCGCAAACACTGTGTATAAATAGTTTTCATGCTCAGTGACAAATGTCAATTCCCTGGGGAGTTTTACACAAGCCTTGATTTGTTTCGACGAATAGCGTATGGCAAGTTTTGGGGAAAATGCAGTCTCTTTCAGCTGTAATATCATCAATACATTCACTGAATTCACTGACTATAATGTTTTAGCAAGTATATATCTCCCTCTGATTGAACAGTTCTTCCATTAAATATTAATGGCTT